TTTGTGACACATGTTGGGAAAATGTAAATTAAACGCGATAAAATCCGTAAAATTTGTTTTAGAAAAGAGACCGAGAACGTGGAAAATGTTAAAAGTTACAATGTATCAGGCTCAAATTTTAGAACAACACGGTATCGAATTCGTATCTAAGGATGTTTAGAGATTACTTATATCTCTAAACTTCCTTAGTTTAAAGTTTAGAGATATAAATATTACAAACAAAAAAAAAATGGTTAACACAAACTTTTAGATCTATTGAATATTGGTTTACGAATGGTTCTGTTAGTATTTTAAACTGAACAAATTGCCTGCCATAATGTAACAATATTGAATACCTATTATATAATATCATAGTTTGAATAAATATAAATAGTGATGAATAGATATATTATGAAATATTAAAATTATTTCAACCGTTTTAATAGTATGACAGAATAATACCTAATGCGAAATAGCTATCCCACAGGAACAGTGCCTGATTTAGAGTTCCGACAGCCCAAGGCTAACAATGAATATGCGCCTCCACTGACTGTTCTGGCTGTGCCTGCTCAGCCCATAAATATAATTACTAGATTTTTATACTTAACTAGCTTTCCAACGCGCGGTTTCGCCCACATTAATTCAAATTTTCCTGATAGTAAGTGTCAACCATCGCCCATGAACAACTGCAACACCAGGGAAATTGCAGGTGCGTTGTGCCGGCCTTTTTAAAAGGAGTAAGCTCGTTTCTTGATGGTCTCTAAGTTGTATCGATCTGGAAAAATTGCCGGTGGAGATGATTCCACAAAGAAATCTTGCGAGGAAGAAAACTCCTAGTAAATCGCAGTCATCGTGGACTGCCAAGCATCCACATGGTGTAGATAGTACCGTGGGTTTTGTCCAGATGTGCGTTGGTGAAATTTGCTGCTGAACGGCTGGAATTAATCCGAACAATTTGTTTAAGTACTATCCGTATAAAATGCGATAGAAAATAAAAATGCACTTCACAGCGCCAGTTAATCGAGCTGATCAGAAGGAACTCGGTCGTCGACGATTCGAGCCACCCTTCGCTGGATCCGGTCAAGTGGAAGGATCTGGCACTGGGGTGCCCCAGTCCAGAGATGAGTAGAACTGTACTCCATATGCGTGCGAACTTGTGCCATGTAAAGTTGCGAACGGTGTGCCGGTATGAAATACTGTCCTGCTCTGCTGAGCACGCCAAGCTATTTAGAGGCCATTTTAGTCTTCCCCTCCTAGTGACAACGAAACTGTACGTCATTCGATATGTCAATGCCAATGATTCCGATGCTGGCTAAGGCAGCATGGGGAGTGCCCTGAAATTGAAGAGATAGGACGAAGGAGTTCTTTTTAACGGTAAACGCGTAAACTGTATCTTTTTTTTATAGGATAAGGGTGACGAACGAGCACACAGTCCACCTGATGGTAAGTGGTTGCTGCGGCCCATAGACATCTACATCTATCCTCTATTACAAATCAAAATGTAGATGCGTTGTCACCCGTGAGGAATAAGATGGAATGCCTCATTTCCAGTAAAAAGAGCCTCCGGCCACCTGCACTCACCAAGCGAAACGCAGAGGTAAACCTATACTTCACGCTGGTTTTCTGTGAGGTCGTAGTACCACCCCGGTTCGAGCCGGCCCATCCGTGCGACAGCAAAAGCTGCCGCGTGGCTCTACCACTGTTAAGTCTTCTGAAGTTTAAACTGAACTAGAGTAGTCCCCAATCCGAGAGTATCCTTATTAAAGACCCGACTTCTGACACAAGTTTGTTCCGATATTCCATGACGTGTTCCCGAGAAATATTAGCACGGCCGGTGTAAAAAAGCATCACTAGTGTTACAACTAGTAACATCCACACATAATTGATGTACAGAACAAACAGCGTAGGCAATAGCACGCAGCCTTGTGGAACACTAGCATAAATAGGCTCGTAGTCGGAGTATGCACCGTCTACTACGACCTTGATGTTCCGATCTGCAAGAAAACTGATGATTCAATTGCACAATTTCTCGGGAAGCCCATAGGAAGGAAACTTCTACTCGTAAAGCAGCGCTCCATTGTCTGTCATTGCTCCAAGTCCATTGAAGGTCTTCGCTATGTCGCTTCGCTTCGCTAGGTCATTCGCTAAGTTCCGGCGACCAAGGTCTCCGTTTTGGACTCTACTGCTTCCTCTCATCTATGAATTAGGTAAATTAGAAGATTAGAACTAGAACCAGCTAATCAGCTGGTGTTCCTTAAGGTAGGTACCTTAAAAGCTGGCATTATAGGATGGCATGAGAGGAGTGCTTTGCACACTAAGTGCTGTATAAACACACATCCAGCATGGAGCAATCACACCGCGGGATGGTCGGCGGTATGTACCCCCATCATCAAGAGTCGAATTGGACTCAAAAAGAGGACCTAAAAGATAGACTTTCTCCTTTGCAGCATGGGCCAATTAGTCACTCTGCCTGTGTAGAGATGGAACAAATGGCTGACAGAAAATCCCTCGAACAGCTTTAGCAAAATACCTTGATAAAATTAGAGATAGAGAAGAGAGCTTGACCATTTTAAAATCTTTGAATCATATCCAGTCAGTCAACGAAAGACGAAAAAGAAAAAAAAAGTAAAGTTGCAGCCTATTTACGCCCCACTGCTGGGCACAGGCCTCCTCTCATTTCTGAGAGTGTTTTAGGGCAAGGAAATGTCCGCCGCACTTCTCCAATGCGTGTTGGCAAACTTCACATGTTTTCGAAATATTTTTTTTTATTTCTCTGACATGCAGGTTCCTCACGATGTTTTCATTCAGCGCCGAGCACGTGGTAAATCAGCACTTAAAATTGCAATTAACAATTTCATTGGTGCCGGCGGGGATCGAACCCGGGTTGCTCGAGTACTGTGAAGCTTACAGCGGGCGCTAACTATCTAAGCTACCACGGCTCATTGAAAGACGAAAGGTACCAAATAATTCAGTCTTACTTTTACAAGTAAAATACTTGCGGCCCTTACTCTATTATTATTTATTGAGAATGTTACACCAGATTTTATTCTGTAGATACATAAGTGGTGCTTGCGAAGGCAAGCTCAGCGCCCCTTCGAACCTTGCTCCAGCGTAGTCAGCCTATGGGTAAATCAGACCCTGCACAGGAATCAGGAACTTATTACATCTTCATACAAAATTTTATAAAAACCTTTTCAGCCATTTGAGCGTGAAGAGTTAATTATAGAATTACACTCTAGATCTATTTTAAAGGAATCGTGCATTTATCTGGGATATACAATAAGCTATGTCGCTCTCCGGACCACAAACAATCTTTTTGCAAATAATAATTTCGATCCGTGTGCTCCGTTGCTGAAGTGATAGAAGAACAATAACAAAGCAAACCAACAAACACTTTCACATTTATAATATTTTTAGGTAACATCCAGACCCGAAACAATTACTTATAGGTCATACAAATACTTGTTCCGTGCGGAATTTGAACCCGCGGCCCTCACCGCGGCAACTCATTGCTAAGCCACTGCGCTAAGTAATCCGTCCGAAAAGAGCCGTCAAATCCGCTAAATTACTATTGCTTAGGGACATTGAGTTATATGTACTACGTACTAGAGAAGCTGTTCCAAACCAAAATTGTGCGCTACTCTATGTCTTCGTGGATGCGCGGGAGATAGTAGAGTCGTGCATGCGCGAAACTTTAATCTTTATATATAAAAATTACGTGTCACATTGTTTGTCCGCGATGAACTCTTAAACTACTGAACTGATTTCAATGAAATGTTTCACAAATGTGTGCAGTTTGGTACAACTTGAGAGATAGGATAGTTTTTATCCCGATAAGTGACCCTCAATTTTTTTATTGTGAATTTAATGATTTTTTTTAGGACACATGGTCGTCGGAAAGGGCAGAACAACGTCTGCCTGGTCAGCTAGTTTAATATAAAATAAACATAAGAATTTATTATAAAGTATTCCTATTTTAATCTAAACAAACAGATTTCTAAATAAAATGTAATAATAATTATCTTATGGAATTCACAAATCTTCAATTTACGCAATATTTAGTTTAGTGTACGGATTGCAGTACAGTTTAGTTGAACATGGTCAACGTTCGGAATGCGAAATCTAGTGCGTATTATATCGATGCTTGGGGATAATATCTTTGACAATTTTTTCATTTATTCGAATATATTATGTTATTTTTTTATACATTTCCTAATAATGGTTTTATGATTAAAAATAGTTTTATTTGTCCATCATTTTATAGTTTACCTGGTCTCCTAATGGCATACTATTTCTGAGTATCTATATACCATGTAATAAAATTCTACTATATATAGTAGAATTTTATTACATGGTTTTACATATATTGTTACAGTTATAATCTCAACTTTTAAACAATAACCGAAATAAATACTTTGGCGGTAACATAATAATAATTATCAACAAACGGTCAACTTTATAAATAAACAGATGCGTTTCAAACCACAGATAATAATGAGTCAAACGTAAAATGGGATACTCGTAAAATAGGGTTAATTTCTTGCGGATTATTTGTAATATTTAGTAATAATTAAATATGACCTAACACCTTAACTCTTAATTATTATTGTAATTTTGACATGAGTTAAGAGTAATGAGTTTAGGTGTGGGTGGAAACGAACTTACTTATGGCTGCTATCAAAAATATTACAAAAATAAAAAAATAAAAACTTGAAAAAATTTCATCATTTTACATACATAAAAAATAACGTGTAATATAATATATTCAATACGACTAAAAAATAAAATTATAATACTTACTATAACATTAAAAACATGGATAAGTTTAAAGATAAATAAGAGAAATAAAATATTAAGGGTTCTAAAGAAGTGAAGAAAAGGACTAAAGAAGAGAGGGACAATGTAATGCCAGTTCCTTTCCAAGATAATAAAATCACTGTGTTTTAGTTATTGACCACTGAACCCTAATAAGAGTACAACGCAATGCGAATAAAGGACACATAAAAAATTAAAATAAATACCGCAATCCGAATAGAATTTGGCTTGAGCACTGGCCAGCAGCACAACGACGGTCACAAGGAATAGCATTTTGATGTTTTTAAAAATCTACTATAGTTTGTTTGATGATGTATATTCGCGCGCTAGCGTTGTAACGACTCGCGCGTCAGTAATGAACTGATCCGTCTGAACGAATGGATGGACTGTGTATTACGACCTTTATTAGTGTTTATAATGCGCTAGCGCAGGTCAAAGAGTAAACTTGATAGATGGTCATTGACTGGTTTAATTTCTACATATTTGAACAAATACAACAGCTTGTGCAAGTATGGCTATATTATGACATTATCATTTTATTTCAGTTTTATTAAACTAGTCATCGTAAGAGTAAACTGCTTATATTTGAGTACGAGTTGTGAGAGAACTATTTATAAGTAAGTATACTTGGTTACCAACCCCTCGAAAACCCTCCCAGAAATGAGAGGAGACTTATGCTCAATAAGACAGTATCTTTCGTCTTTTTTACTTTGTTAATAATGAGTTAAACTGTATCACGCGTTAAAAAATATAGAATATTGTGTATAAGTAATTGTGGTTTAAGAATAATATAGACAACTGTATTGTATATAACTGTATACATTTACTAATAATACGAATATAAACTACTGACTCGATCAGGTTGAGTCAATATTAGTAATTTCAAGTGTTCTAAAGTAAAATATTCATTCATTCATTTTATCCTACCAAAGTCCAATGCTAAACAGAAGTCCCTTCATAGATTGTTCCTTATAAGAGAAATATTTGTCATAGTAGCCACATTTGGCAGGCGGGTTGGCAACTACAGTTTTTTATTGTCTAGTTGTCAATAGGAAGACGCTGCTCCATGTCCTGGTTTGTTTCTCTCTATCGCCTTTGACGACACCAACGGGACGATATGGGGCAGTGTATTTTCTTACACAATCAAGGTCACGGTCAGTAAAATATGATCAAGGCGAATGTCTATTCTCAATCGTCGTTTAATCTTTAACCAGACCGGAAGATCGTTGTGCAAATTGTACGAATGCTTCAGGAAAATTGGATGCGCGTGCCTCGAATGTCTAAAGCTGTTAAGTATTATAGTTTTATAGTAAACAATGTTAGTTTTCACATTAATCATCGCAAGTCGCGACAAGGAATATGTATAGTAAATAATTTCACATTAGTTATTTTTAATGAGTCTATTATTTTATCGAAAATATGCTCGTTATGTATGAAACTTATAGCTTTTCGATAACATAAATATATTTATGTATCCTATAGTATTTTCAATGGTATACTGATTAATAGTTACCTATTGCTTATAGATGTTGCGTAAAATAGCAGCTTAACGCTGCTGTGATTCGTATGGTGAGTGTAGAGAACCGGAGACCTTTTTTACTGGAAACGAGCTATTCCATCTTAGTGCTCAGGGGTAACAACGCATCTCCCATTTTGATTTTTAATTGAGTATTAATGTAGACGTCTACGGGTCATGGTACCTACTTACTATCAGGTGGACTGTGTGCTCGTTTGTCACCCTTATTCTATAAAAAAATGCACAGTCCTAAGGGTTAGCATCGCCACCTCATCCTTTGGACTAAGTTTCAGTAGCCTGTATCAAAATAGCAAGAAGAAGTTTCGATAAAAACTATCTTTAAACTTCCATTTGCGCCATGTATCTCTGTTACATTTGTCCTGTTTCTTTCTGTTAATATTGCTCTGGATCTATCACTACGTAGGTACTTATGACCTCCTCGTTGGTCCAGTGCTTGTAATAGTGCGACTGCTGATCATGAGGTCCCGGGTTCGAATCCCGAGTCGAGCCAAAAAAGTCAGTTATTGAGCTTTTCCATCAAGAACTTCTCAGTAGCTGCCCGTAGTCAAGAAGTTGGCGGTTTCTCACCGCAGCGCGTCGGAAAGCACGAAAAGCTGTTGGTACTGCGCTTGATCCCTCTCCGTTTGTGTCGGTTTACCGTACTATCGGTCTATGAGAGTGAGGGAATAGATAGAGTGCACCTGTACTTGCGCATACACTTGGGCACTATAATCCTGTCCTGCGCCGATAGTTAGTCTCCGTCGAGGCTGGCCGCCGAGACCGAAATCCTGTCTGGAGTACATTACGTCCTTATTGCCAAATCATACCGCAAATTCGCTTTCTTTATAAGATAGGGTGACAAACTAGCACACAGTCCACGTGATGATAAGTGGTTGCTGTGGCCCATAGACATCTACATCTACCCCGTTTGCGAATCAAAATGCAGATGCGTTGTCACCCGTGAGGACTAAGATGGAATGCCTCTTTTCCAGTTAAAAGGGTCTCCGGTTCTCTACACTCACCATACAAAACACAACAGTGTTAAGCTGTTATTTTACGCTGTGAGAGCGTGGTCCTTCCCCGGTCAAGCCGACCCATTCGTGCTACAACTATACTACTAATATACCTGCAGCATGGCTCTACCACATACAAGCGCTTCTCTCGAAGCTCCCTTCCTATGGGCTTCCCGAGAAATTGTGCAATTGGATCACCAGCTTCCTTGCAGATCGGAGCATCAAGGTCGTTGTAGACGGTGCATGCTCTGACTACAAGCCTATTAACGCTGGTGTTCCACAAGGCTGTGTGCTATCACCAACGCTGTTTCTTCTGCATATCAATGATATGTTGCTAACTGGTAACATTCATTGCTATGCGGATGACAGCACTGGTGACGCTCTATACACCGGCCGTGCCAATATTTCTCGGGATAACGTCGCTGAGTACCGGAACAAACTTGTGTCTGAAGTCGAGTCTTTGCTGAGCAAAGTCTCGGATTAGGGGCGACTAAATCTAGTCCAGTTTAATCCTCAGAAGACACAAGTTTGCGCGTTTACCGCTAAAAAGAACCCCTTTATCGTATTTCCTCAGTTTCAAGGCACTCCCCTTCTTGCCTCAGCCAGTATCGGTATCCTCGGAGTCGACATATCGAGTGACGTGCAGTTTCGTAGTCACTTGGAAGGGAAGGCCAAATTGGCCTCTAAAAAGCTTGGCGTGCTCAGCAGAGCGGGACAGTATTTCATGCCGGCACACCGCCTGCAAATTTACAAGGCGCAAGTTCGGCCTCACATGGAATACTGTTCCCATCTCTGGGCAGGGGCTCCCCAGTGCCAGCTCCTTCCACTTGACCGCATCCAACGCAGAGCTGCGCGAATCGACGACGACCGAGCCCTTTCCGATCGGCTCGACTCATTGGCACTGCGAAGAGATGTTGCATCCCTTTGCATTTTCTTTCGCATCTACCATAGGGAGTGCTCTGAGGAATTGTTCGGATTAATCCCAGCCGCCAAATTTCACGAACGCACATCGCGGCAGAACTCCCGATACCATCCACACCATCTGGATGATTGGCGGTCCACCACTGTGCGATTTAGAAGATGTTTTCTTCCTCGCACGACCTCCTTGTGGAATCGATTACCATCAGCGATTTTTCCGGACCGATACGACTTAGGGACCTTCAAGAAAAGAGCGTACTCCTTTTTAAAAGGCCGGCAACGCATCTGCGATTCCCCTGGTGTTGCAGTTGTTCATGGGCGGCGGTAGTCACTTACCATCAGGTGAGCCGCATGCTCGTTTGCCCCCTCTCCTATAAAAAAAAAAACAAACGCTTTATCGCGCCACAAGAGTTCTTTTTTCATTTTAGGTAACGTTATCAAACAAAAACTTAAAAGAGCTTGTTGCAAGCAATTTCAGTCAACAGTTATTGAGGTTTAGTTCAAAACAGTTCCAATCTGTTATTTTTAAAAACCTGTTGTTTGTTTACCGGTAGCTATAAATACGCCTCACACCTACTAAAATTACGCCACGCGGTCATTGTTGTTTGTTTTTATTTTATATTTTCAGCAAGTAATAAATTTTTCTTTCAACAGCTATATCAGCTTTTGACATTTTATGACTTTTTATAGAATAGGGTTGAAGAATTCACACAGTATACTTGATATTAAGTAAGTACACTGTGGCCCATAAACATCTTATCTTACGAATAAAATTGCAGAAGCGTTGTTACCCCTGAGGTTGAAGTTGGAATGCTTCATTTCCAGTTAAAAGAATCTCCGGTTTTCTGCACTCACCATATGAAACACAGCAGCATTAAGCTACTATTTTACGTTGGTATTCTGTGAGAGCGTGGTCCTTCGCCGTTCGATCCGACCCATTCGTGCTACAATCATTATATAGCTGCAGCATGACTCTACCACGTATAAATCTATTTGGATTCATATTTCGAACCCTTTATTTATAATAATTTAATATTAAATTCCATTCTAACTATTTCGTAGGAATTCTAAACGTAACGAACCACTTTAGGTTTAGTGACGCTCCACTATAGTAGTTCGTAGCGACGGCTCCGTAGCGCAGTTACTCGGCGTTTAGTCGCGATGCTGCAGTGCCAGGGGTTCAAATTCTGCACGCACAAAGTGTTTGTGTGGCATACAAATAATTGTTCCGCGTCTGGATATTTACCCTTGTAAAATTTATGTATGTAAGCCACGATACAGGAGGAATAGTGTGAAGGTAACGTTTCTTAAAAAAAAAGAAGAAATGGGTTGTGGTTGTGTATTACTTTTTTATGCCTACCGCCTAAGACACTTTCGTTGTTAATTTATTTATTTATAGGGGATGAGCGAGTCACCTAGGTTCGATCCTCGTCGGCACCAATAGCTTTACATTCGCAATTTTTAATGTTTATATGAAGGAAACATTGTGGGGGAATAGATCAGAAGAGATATTTTAATTCAATAAAGCATTTTATATAATACTTAGAGTCACTTTTTGAAGTGAAAACTTCTTTAGAATCGTTGTAATTTGAAAATCGATGGAACGAAAAAGCGACACTAAAAAGAGACAAACATATACATGTATAGGATTTAGCCCGCGAGAGAATGAGATAGAATACAGTATACAATGTTTCCTATTATCTCGGTTTCCTTTTCTAAACGTTTCACTTCTACCGCGTGTGAACTGCACACATGGATTTTTGAAGTGAAAACCTCTTTAGAATCGAAAACGAAAAGCGATGCTAAAAAGAGACAAACATATACAT